CAGCAGCCGAGTACCTTAGCCACTAGACCACCGCGGCGGGGCCTTTGTAAATAAATTAATAAAAACAAAAATATGGCAGTGATGGAAAGAAAACCATCTCTGAATGACTACAGTAAACGTAAAAACACCAGGCCTGCTCGGAAGGCGCAGCACAGTCGCAGCAAAATCTAGAAGAGCGGCCTTTCAGAGCCTTTTCCAAACACTCATTGGGTAACTGCAGCGATCGCACTTGCTGGGTATCCACCACGGCATTATCACTAATAATTTTCTGGGTAGTACGCCGGCATTCGCTATGCTATCCTTCGTCATTCTTCTGAAGTGTGGCATCCGTTAAACGCTTGCAAGCAATTTTGTTCCAATTGTTCATGCAGTGCAAATTTGTGCCTATTTGTGCCATTCGTGCCAATTGTTCGTTTCCACCGAGCGCGTATGTCCCAAGCAGTGCATTGCCCGCCTTTTAATCTACTAGAATATGAGTGCCATGCCCCTGCTCTCGATACGCACACTTATCCGAAATTCACGTAATTAACTTGCATTGAAAAAATCTTGAATACTTCAAATATTAAAAAAAAAACGCCAGGCCTGCGCGGTATAGGCGCAGCACAGTCACAGCAAAAGCTAGAAGAACGGCCTTTCAGAGCCTTTTGAAAACACTCATTAAGTAACTACTGCAAGCATACTTGCTTGATACCCACTAGGGCATTAATAATCAACTTTTGTGTAGTAGGCCGGCATTCGCTATGTTATTTTTCGTCATCTTCTGAGAATCATGGTATCCGCTAAACACTTGCAAGAAATTCTGTGCCTATTGTCCATGCAGTGGCTGACGACGATGAGGAATTATGTCAGAAGTGGGATGTGCCACAGTTAACAGGGAAACAAGAACAAACTTTTGTAATAGGTTGGAGCATTGGACGACCCACTCGTTACGCTATTCGCATTGTGCGACGACTGCCTGTTCTTTCGCTGTTTTGAAACGCTTTATAAGTCATATTAACGCAATTTCTGTCCCGACATCAAGCCTGCATGCCTAAGGGAAGTTTGCCAACAAGCACAAGCGTAGCCCAGTGGCTGAATACTAGGCTGGTACCCAGCAGACCCTGGTTTCGAGCCCTACTGTGCCTTCAGTGCTAGTTTGTTTTTTTAAAATAATTTAGCGCGATGTGGTAACGGACACCGGCAATGGTGGGCAACTGCGCGTGGCCCGAGTTGTGATCCCATTACAAGTTTTACTGTAAAACAACGGCGAATCAGGCTGTTGGTGATGTCACGCGATTGCTGAGCTAGACACGACTCGACAGAACGGAAAATACGACTGCTCCTTTTTGCATCGGTTGTCCCCCAAAATAGGCTACGGGCGGTCATACAACGCCTTAAATATTGACATTTACGTCTTGTTTACTGTGTGCAAAGTGTCAACAACTCATCTAATTCAACATGTTATTTTCAACTGGCAAAATTATTTTGCGAAAATCATTCATAAGCTTTTGCTTGCATATTGCGCTTTCATTCAGCTTCAAAGTTGTAACAGGTGGGTCCTTACCCCACTGAGGCTGAGAGAGTATGCAGAGTAGGATGCAGAGAAGGTGCCTTTGAAAGCAACACACCAATTTCGAATCCGACGTGTTCCAGACTTCTTTAAACAGATGGCAGCATCTGCTCATTCCAAGAAGACCCACGCCTACTGGCTGGCTTAGCTGCAGATCGCCCCTGTTCGCAGGCGAAGCGCGAAAAGAAAGAACTCTCGTTGCGGTATTAAGAACTCACGTTGTGGTGTCTGTCTGTCTATCTATCTATCTATCTATCTATCTATCTATCTATCTATCTATCTATCTATCTATCTATCTATCTATCTATCTATCTATCTATCTATCTATCTATCTATCTATCTATCTATCTATCTATCTATCTATCTATCTATCTATCTATCTATCTATCTATCTATCTATCTATCTATCTATCTATCTATCTATCTATCTATCTATCTATCTATCTATCTATCTATCTATCTATCTAGTCTGTCTGTCTGTCTGTCTGTCTGTCTGTCTGTCTGTCTGTCTGTCTGTCTGTCTGTCTGTCTGTCTGTCTGTCTGTCTGTCTGTCTGTCTGTCTGTCTGTCTATCTATCTATCTATCTATCTATCTATCTATCTATCTATCTCTATCTCTATCTCTATCTCTATCTATCTATCTTTATCTATATCTATCTATATCTATCTATCTTTATCTATATCTATCTATATCTATCTATCTCTATCTCTATCTCTATCTCTATCTCTATCTATCTATCTTTATCTATATCTATCTATATCTATCTATCTTTATCTATATCTATCTATATCTATCTATCTCTATCTCTATCTGTCTATACCTGTCTATCTATCTCTATCTCTATCTGTCTATATCTGTCTATCTATATCTATCTGTCTATCTATCGACAAAGTTATGCCATACCAATTTTGGTATCGATATCATTATCGAAACGACCAGGAGAGCTAAAAGGTCTTAGACAGACAGATAAATATACAGACAGACAGACAGACAGACAGACAGACAGACAGACAGACAGACAGACAGACAGACAGACAGACAGACAGACAGACAGACAGACAGACAGAAGGTGCTATTATGGACACTGTCTAATTCCACCATATTGTCAAATTTTGTAATAGCGGCATGTGGTATGTATGTAACCACATCGTTAATTTTAAGAATTGCTCACTAGATGGTGTTGTGTGTATATGTCCTTGAAAATAATCACGTTCTCGTATAATAAGAAATTCACAGAATATTCATGGAGTGAATGATGATGAGTGGGGCGAAGCGTCCATCCGTCCGTCCTTCCGTCTGTCCGTCCGATGCGTGTTCTAGTGGGATAGGAACGAACAGACGGATAAATGGACGGACGCTTCGTCCCACTCAGCATCATTGACTCCGTGGCTATGCTGTGAATTTTTTCGATAACTTCTTGAAATGTGCGCTAAAATTTTGGGGATCTTAAAGCTCCGCCTTTATGAGTTGAACACAATAGCGATGTCCTGTTCCCAGTGCGCATTTCAAACACTTCGTTGCACGAAACATTTCTGAACTTGCTAGACACCCACTACGTATATAATCTTAGGAAATAGGCGCAGTAGTAGCGTGCCTTTTGTAGTGGGTGACCGGCTTTAAACCACGAAGTCATGATGATCGCACGTTCCGATAGCCGCTAGCAATAGGCGCTTGTACCACGCATTATTTCTGCAATATTTCATGTTGTATTTTGAAGAATGTATAGAGGACGCGCGTATTTGTAAAACACGAAAGTTACGTTTGCTGCATTTTCAAGCAGTGTAAGTTATTTTCGCTGTGTTCACAAGCCGACACGTGTGGTGAAACATCCGCTTGCCAAGCAAACGATCCGCGTTCCATCCTCACGCGGACCTAAAAGACCCGAACTCGGTTGACACTCTCCCCAGGATTTTAGGGGCGAAGCTCCTTAAAGCGGCACACGTTCGACCCTCGTAGTCGTAGTCGTAGTGTGTAACCAGTGTTACATTTGGACCTGCAAGGTGGTGCCGCTGGGAGATTTCTCTTGTGCTTTGTTGAGTAATAAAATGTTCGCGGTGTGCGCGTTAACTAAAAGCCAAATGCTCCTGACTCATTCCCCATTAGCAGCCATTGGCATGTACATTGAGCACTATCTGACAAGAAAGTATTGCTACGTTATACTCGCTAGGCGTTACCTCCCTGGTTTTAGAAAGGTTTAGCGAGCGTTGAGCCGCAGTGCCATGAATACAGTGAACTAGTATATACCATGAACTTGAGGTGGTTAAAGGTGGGAAGCAGACCCGAAGCGCAAGCCGTAAGAAAGTGTGCGTGTGCCACCTCTCGTTTAGTCCTTGCAATGTCCGCTGGATGGCGGTGCTTCTATATCGGGTTTAGGGGCCGGGAGGGCAAAATAAACTTTAAGCGGGTAGACTTAACTAGAAGGAGGTTATCTGATTGGTGGCTAAAGTCAAGGCACGAGTGAAAATTAAACTCTTCACTGCAAAGTACGAATCCTCAAACTCACTTTTTAAGGAAAAAAAATAAATATAGTTTTTGGTTCATTAGGTATTACGGCTTGGTGGCGCTAGCCACCGCCCGATCTAAAGGGTACAGCCATATCCATCCATCCATCCATCCATCCATCCATCCATCCATCCATCCATCCATCCATCCATCCATCCATCCATCCAATCCATCCAATCCATCCAATCCATCCATCCATCCATCCATCCATCCATCCATCCATCCATCCATCCATCCGAATATATGATGAAAACATGCGAGATGGTGGTACTTGGAGTGTTGAATTGATGGACGAACGAACACACAGACAGATGCATGGATGAACGCACGGATGGGTGGATGGACGCACGGACGGTCACACAGACGGACGCATGAACGGACGGAAGCAAGAACGAATGAACGGACGAATGCTTCGCCCACTCTCCATCATTCACTCCGTGGATATGTTGCCATTTTTTATCATTTTATTTTATTTGCACCGTTTTCGATTTTTCGGTCGCGCATAAGATTATAATTTTCGCTCACAACGAACGACACTGCGACGCCGAAGCTTGACTTTCAGCGAAACGCGCTATAGCGCTATCGCGTTAAAAGCGTGACACATCGATCGATGTTAAGGGGTGCGTATGCATTGTCATTACGATTGAAAGGCATGCTGCCTGCAAGAAGCTAAACGACGCCGACGTTGGAATTTCTGCGAAACGAGTTCTTTAACGCGCGGAAAGTACGACACACCTCATGGTGTTAAGAGGTGCATATGTATTGTAATTATGATTGAAAAGCATGCTTCCTGCGAAAAACGACGTAGAATATAGTGAAGTGGACATCATGTTGCAGAAACAGTTCGGAAAACAACGACAGCGTAGGTGACGATAATTATCTATTAACCTTTGCGTTTTGAGTATCGTCGTTAAGAGGGACGTGCTACCGTACTTATCTGAAAGCCATTTAATTGGACTCCGATGACAAAGAAGCACGTCGTCGTGGTCGCTGGTAGTTTTCTTCATTCGCAGGCGTCGACGCTGCCGACACAGCCGGAGAGGTGGGCGGGGTCGCCGTCGACCTAGCCACCGGCGTGCCGATAAGCTCTGGGCAGCACCAAAAGTTGTGCTGCAGCCTTTTCATTCGTGCCACGAGGTCGTAAGCGATGCCCTCGCTCACCACTGAGTCCTTTTTGTACTCAGGGTGGGAGGTGACGAAGTGTCGTATCCAGCGCGCTCCCGTCATCAGCTGGCCAGAGGCGCGCTTCTCGATGAGCTGCAGGTACTGCTCGACGGTACAGCGGGTGCTGGTGTCCACCTCCTCGACGCTTGCCAGAAAGCTGCGCACGAGTGGCACAAGGCCAGGGAAGCCCTCCCTGCCGTTTACGATCTCGCTGAGCGTCATTCGTGCGACGCGTGGCTCAGCGGCACCCTCACTGTGCGAGGAGGATCCGACGTCTTCGCGGAACCACAGTGTCTCTGTCAAAACGGCGTCGACCTTCTGAGCGACGCGCACGTTCTCGTCCACCTTGGATATAGGGATCACAAAGTCCAGGTCGAACGTCAGGATGGCACGTGTGAGGAGCACAACGAATACTACGTAAGCCGCGTTCTCGAACTCGGTCATGTTCAGCTCCATGGGCCGGAACTCGACTCGCCATCCGATGTCCGTGTTGGGTGGAGGCGGCTTGAAGCGCAGCGTGTGCCAACTTGTCGACTGAAGGTTCTCGAAGTGGTCGTAGTCGTTGTCCACGCCGTCGTCGAGCTTCTCCCTGAAGAGCGAGAGCGTGTCCTTCCCAAAGACGTGAGACAAGTGCATCGCCAGGCCGTGGCCGATGTTCTCGGAGCGCAGGAGCTGGTAGACTTCGTGGTTGTGAGCGAGCGGCACGTCGTTGCAGTGCTCGTTGACGGCGCAGATGAAGCAGGGTATACTGGCGTAGCGCGGCCGCACCGTGCCCATCTCGTCGTCGGTACGGTCGTCGACGGCCATAGAGATGACGTCGAAGCGGCAGTCTCGGTCCACTAGGTAGCCGCGGAAGACGGGACTGCTTGCACCCAGTGCCAGCAGGACGGGGCACACGTTGGCCAGCTGGTCGTATAGTCGCATCGCTTCTTCCATGTCGTACGCTTGCAGTGTCACCTGTAGGCAGCAGTTACCCATACCGAATCCCATAGCGTCCATGTATACGTGGTCAGGCTTATTTGCGAGCAGCGCCTCTTCATCAGCACCTAGTTTCACGAGGTCTTCGATGAAGGGACGCGGAGTATTGACGTCTTGAAAAATGGGCACGTTGATGACGACCCGTTTACCGCGCCGCAGCCTAATGTTGCGTGCCAGAGTGCGGAAGCGTGGGTGAGTAGGGTAGATCATCTGCTCGGGCACGAATAAAGACGGCATGGAGACCGAGCCGAGTGAAGGCTCATACGGTGGATACGTGAACTCGGCGCAGCCCAGCCTCGGAAAGACCGTAATGCACATGACCTCTTCGTTGGGACCGAGCAGCTGGCTTATCTCGGCGCGACGCTGGCGCATGTTGTGCTCGACGACGTTGCAGTGCGCCAGGGTGTCGCCATAAGGCAGCCCCGGCACGGCTTCCACAGCGTAAGCGCCGAACTCCGGGTGCCAGGAGCAGATGCTCGTCGGTGTCCGCAGTTCTCGCTCATTCAGCTCGTGGATGATCTCGGCACCTCGCAGTAGCAATTGAACGCGTCTTTTGACGTGGTCGAAGCGCACCAACATGTACTCGACCTCGTCTCCCCACAAAAGGCGGTCGCCACGGCGGTCACGGGCCTCCCGGTACATCTTGATGAACTGGAGGATGCCACGGCGTCGCACGTAGTCACTCAGTCGCTTGGTCTCTTCCCAGGAGAGAGGCGTACCTTCTGACAGAAGCCCCATAATCAGCGTTGTATGGCTTTGGCGCGCGCGTCATGAACCTCGTTTGTTCGTCTGATGATGATGATGCTGGTGATGATGATGATAATGCTGATGATATTCTTCTCTCACCGATGGCGCTCGCCCACAAAGGGGTTGGAAGGAAAGGAAAGTATCTAGGGAATATGAAATAATCAATGAAAATGCCTCATGGGCAAACGTTAGGCAATCGGATGGGCTTGAGCCGCAATAAAGAATAAAAATACACCAACAAGCTAATCTTTTTGTTTCCATTATGTACGCAAACCCAGCTGAGCAAACATCCCTGTGCAAGCCCTGCAAGTGATAAAATGTCTGCAACATTTATTTTTAATCCTAGCTTTTTAACTGGATTGTCAATGTATGTTTTCGTTTGATGAGAATATCGGTGCCAGAATAAAAAAAAAGATCTATTGTTTGTTTCCTTCCAAAGGGACATAACAGAGACACCGTGAGCCCAGCGTCTACTGGTGCTCGGATCAGTGGTTTGAGCTGTTGTTTGAGCTCAAACTCGTCGACCCTTACGGCAGCGCTCTATTACCGCCTTTACATTGTAATCGGTATCATGAACAGCAATCAGTGAATTGCTGACTGAAGTAGAAATCTTTTTAAGGGAGATAATCGAAGCATAAGAGATTGAAGAAATGTGCTAACTGCTCTGACAAAAAAAAAAAAAAAAACGCGAGGAGGAAAGGAAAGACAGGGAGTTCTCAGACCGGCTGGATGCCCTGTGCTGGGGAAGGGGAATAAAAGTTGACACAAAAGAGATGTTAAAAGAAGAAAAAAAGGTCACAGCTTTGCCGCAAAGGCGAAGCGATGAACGTGATAGGAATAATGCCTAGTTCACACTGAAACATCCGCTTTCTACAGCGACCGAAATTCCCCTGCCGCCGAAACGCAGCATCGTTCGCACTGGACGCGCCCCGCGCCGCCGAATAAGCCATCTACCACGGGGCGAACGCGGGATAGATGCGCTGTCACCCGGTTGTTGTCATGGCTCGCAAACGCTGCTATGCTATCCGGTGGTGTATACTTGACAATTCTTGTACGCAGGAAGCAAGAAAAGACAGTACTGCTTACTTTGCTGGCAAGTGGCTGTCTTGTAATGCACAAAGAGCAGAAAAACCACCGACGCCAGCGGCGTTGGTGGGTTCGTTTTGCTCTGCAAGACCGCAACAAGCTCGGCCACGCCAACAGCAAGCTCGGTCACCTCTTTCACGAAATACGGAGGTGATGTAGGCACAGAGTATGCTAAACTCCCGTTGGTTTCAACATTCAGTTACGTGCAGTGCGGCATAACAAGTGAGTAGGGCTTGGCCGCCATTTTTCTAAATTCCTTAACTAGCGCTCCTATTGGTCCGCGGTGACCGATTCGGCGGCAGACGCCGCAAAAATCGGTCTGAGAGCGATCGGCGCGGAGAGGGCCCTTTCGGCGGATCTCGCCGCCGCCGAACCGGATTCGGAGCACTTTCGGCCGCCGAAATGCTCAGTGTGAACGCGGCATAAATCGGAAGGTCAGGCGCAGTATGGCAAGTGGATCAAAACGCACCCCGCGTTTCTCACGCACAAATGGCGCATGAAACTTATACTTACAGGTACAGACGAACCCGAATAAGCGTCCCAGTTGTTACTTCGCTGTGTCTGAGAAGCGCGCCCTTTTCGCAAACGGAGGCTGTGTAACGAGTGCAGTGACCTGCCAAGACGTATGATCCTCCCCACCGGGAGATAAGGGCGTGCTAGAGATCGTCCACTCCCCTTCTCTTCGCGGGCCAAAGTACGCGTGAGATATGAGAGCTGCCACGCGCTCATTGCACCATGTTGCTGATAATGCTGAAAGCACGATCGTTCCCCGCACCCCAACCCCCCCCCCCCCCCTCATGCCCGCCAACAGCGGTAAGTAGTAGATATAAATAGCTTGCCGTTTGAACGGGAAGAGCCTCGCATTCACGACGCGTATGTCTCACGTTTGATTCCGCGCGCCGGAGTCTTTTTTTTCTGAATTTTTTCTTCTTGCGTTTCATATGCATAAATACGTATACATATAGGGTGCATGACATTGACGCAGTCGCCTACGGAGGCGGCGAAATCCAGTTGCGAGTGTCCGTATAATCGACATCGAAAGAGAATAAATAATGACAAAAGTACAATCGACAGTCTGTCTCTGAGGTCACTTTCCCGCAAGAAGCGCAACAACGTTCTTAACGCCTTGCGTGCCGAGGAAGGCCTCGGATAGTGTCCTAACACCCTTTCTTCCCACGATTGCTGATTGTCAAGTCTATCTAGAACTTTCGAGGGTTTTGTTTTTCTTGGCGCACCGAAGGGAGGACACTCGCATAGAAGATGGGAAAGTGTCTCCACGCAGCGACAGTTGTCGCATGTCGGGCTGATAGCCATTCCGATTTTAAAATTTCCTCCTCTAGTTGAGACCTTGCAGTTACGGACTACTGCGCATGCACTGATGGAGTCAAATTAGGCGGTGCTATATGTAGCGGCGTTCTTGTAACAGCAGTCTCGCCGGAAGTAGCGTTTCCTTTATATGCGTAGGGGCCCAGCTTTTCGTCTAACCCTAGGGTGTGACCACGCTTAAGATCATGTGGTTAATGCAGGCCTGAAACCAGGCTGTCTATGCTCAAATGAAAGCTGAAGTGAATTAACAAGGTGTAAAGTATATACTTCTTATAAATAGCTGTGAAATTTTCGCAATAGTTAGCTTCAAAGTGCTGAAAACACTTTGGAAACATGCGTATCACACCCGCTCCACACAATATAGGATAGCGAACCGCACCATTGCTCCGTTCGCCGCCGTTTAATTCATCGGCGCCTTAGTTAACCGCATCGGAGGCGGGAAAAAACCGGACGGTACTCTTTGCGGATGTCTCAACTGACGTAACAAGAAAAGTCGATAAAGTGCATAGAAAAGTAGGGAGCATTTTTGTGTAACAAATTTTACTCATGCCGGGTGAATCCTGCATGCTTACCTCAAACATTGACGTAATGGACGGTATCGCAAACAGATCAGTGGGGGTGTTACGAATCAGAATCGCTGGGTGCCCTTGCTGTGCCCTTCCTCGAGTTTCGCAGAAGTGGTGATGCGTAACCACTCACTTCACGAGGACGATATTAGAGCTGGATTTGAACCACGTTTACTTTTCGGTGTTTTCCGCACATCTTTATCTTAATTGTCAACGTGCCCAAATACCACATCTGTTAACAACAACCATAACTGACGTTAGACAATTGCTACCTTTTGTAATATTTTTATTTAACATCTGTACGGTGAAGTTATTGATGCGGAGGCGAAAACGTTGTATGCCCGTGTGCTCAGATCTGGGTGCACGTTAAAGAACTCCAGGGGGTAACAATTTCTGGAGCCCTCCACTGCGGCGTCTCTCACAATCACATAGGAGTTTTGGGACGTTAAACCCCACATACAAATCGATGTTACTGATGTGGGTCACTACAGCCCGTTTTTCTGGGTTTGTCTGCGTTTGTGAAGTCTACATCGATGTCGCCAACCGTAACAGACAATATGCTTCTCTTTTGTATAATACACACAGTGTGTCTTCCGATGAATTTTTGGATCCGTATTCACATTGTACTTTTCTAGCGTCTGCATTTATACATGCGGCATCAAACGTCCAGCGTCATCGCTGGTGGCTGCGTTTTTCGAGAATAAACTCCGCTGTTCCCGTCTGCGCGCTCAAGCCTATCCGATGATCCTAAAATAACCTGGAATACTGTGACATTCTTGTGCGGTACATGGTAGCATAGACGCGTGCAATGAGTCAGTAAGATCAAACGTGAGAAATGAGCTATATATATCTTCGCGCTACCAAATAAATTGCCAAAAAGACATACTCTACATTACAAGTCTAGTATACGCTATTTTATTCTTCATCACTCCCTATTTCACCTCTTTTTTCATGCGCTCAGCGCAGACCACTTTACTGTTCCAAGCACCTTTTAATTAGACCTCCCGGTGTAAACCTTGGAAACGTTACCGATGGCGGGTGACTCCCTTTTACCCGAGGCTCCGGTGTACGACACGTTTTCGAGAATCCCACGCTGAGATGCAGTCCTCACAACTTGATACGGTCCACAACACAGAACACTTGAAGGTGCAACTTTTTTGCTTACAAAGTAGTAAGTATTCTCCGGGTTGCATACGTGCGTTATATTGCTGCTCTGCATTTTATAAAATTTTCGCGTCATCCGTTGTTTGCATACTTCTTGTTCTCCAGAAGTTTTCTTGACTTCGGCGAGGTTTAGATTTTCTAGGTGACCGAGCTCACAATCTGCCGTGCTGGTGGTTGCGAAATGAGTACTGCAATGTGAACCCGTGGTGTATGACCGATTGTGATGTTTCACAGTCACCTCAAGGCCGCGATTCTATCTTCATGAACTGTTTAATCTCTTATAGCCAGTTCTGCCAATCCGTTGGCTGCAACCCTGATAGGGAGAAGAATATTTATTAGTTGAGCTTAGTACTCCGGAAAGCAGGACCGTTGTCGCAGACTAGCGTCTTGGTGTGCTTAACACACTCATCTTTGAGTAGACTGATGACACTGTTTGCTCCTTTTTTTCCTGCTTTAGCCTTAATCATCATTGTGCATTCATCAATGAAGTGGGGAAATGCTTGCTCTCACTCGACTACTTCCCCCTTCTTTCTTATTTCCGCAAAGTCTACAACTTCGAATGGCACTCTTGAATATTCCGGGTTCGTCATAACGTCTCATGACTGGTTTAACTTCACTTTCTTCTCCTGACAAAGTGGTATGTGCATATGTAATGGCTGCTGTCGCTTTCATTCCTGGCCATCTGAAACCTCATGAGTAATTTATATATGGCCGCCAGAAGCCGTTTTGTCTGCCTGATCCACGATTGTCTTGGTACAGATGAAGAATATATTGAACCAGTGTGGGTGGTATGTGGTACCTTCTGTTAATAAAATGGAGAAGTGTACATTTTAATAGCTTGACATGCTT